GGTGCCTGCTACAAGTGCGGTGAGGCTGGGCATATGGCAAGGGACTGTTCCCAGGGAGGAGGCGGGGGAGGAGGGAGGTACGGCGGCGGCGGCGGAGGTGGTTGCTACAGCTGCGGTGAAGAAGGGCATTTTGCTCGTGACTGCCCTACAGGCGGTCGTTGATAGTCTCCGATGAAGATGGGTATTTCATACAGTTAAATTTACTTTCTGGTCGTTTAATTTTGTCTTTTTATGGAAATTATTTTATGGTTTCAGTAGATTTGGTTTAGTGTGAGTGTGTGGTGGTATGGTCATCTTCATCTTCTTCATCCGTCAGTGTTGATCTCTGATTAGGATTTTGCTTAAGTTTTATCAATTGAAGTGTGTGTGTCTCCAATTTTGTCGATAAGGTGTATACATGTATAATCTACATGTTTCCTTTATGAATGAACAAGAACTGGAATGGATTTTAGATTTTTGGGTCAGTTTTCAATTTTCTGCTTTGTGGATGAACATTTGTAATAGTGTTGGTGTTTTATGTCCTTTTTGCTCATTTGTTATTATTAATTTTGTGTTTATCTTTAAGTAGCTGTAATCTCTCAGGTTGGATAGGTTCGCAGTGATACATGATAGACATTGACCAATGACCAATAAACATTTTATAACATCATTATCCACAAGAAACAAAACATCTTTTGTTTTTATGATCTTTTAATTTTTTTTAATAAAAAATCTGTTGTACTATTAAATCAATAGACTTGAAACTTGAAAGTATTGAATTGCATACGTTGATCTTATTAGCACGACTAATTGATGGAAAATTGAAAATATGACAAGCATATATTTATTTGAATTATTTTTTAGGAGTGCTTATAATTAGGGGTGTGCAAAATTCGATTGAAATCGACCGAACCGACCGAACCGACAATTTCAGTTCGGTTTTTGTTCGAGTCGGTAGTCGGTTTTCAGTTTGTAAAATTTCGGTTATTTCGGTCGGTGTCGGTTTTCGGACATAATATGTCCGAAATAACCGAACCGACCGAATAACAGATATATATATATATTTATAATATTATATTATATATTATAATATAATATTTTTTAATACAAATACAAATATACATTAAGATTTAAGAGTAGACAGTAAGTCAATAACTCTAGTCCTACACTCAGTTTTCGCATTTCAGAAAATCCTTTACCCAAACCCTCCGCCGCCATCCTTAAATCCTCCGCCGCTACACCCCTAGCCGCTGCTCCTCCGCATTCTACCCAATATCGACCCAATCCAAACCATCCCGGCGTCCCCTGAATCGTCCACCACTTCGCTCAGCAAAAAATCATTCCCTCGTCTTTGCGTCTGCGTGTAGTTCGGTCTTCGGTCCACTCAAGGAGCTCGTGGTTACCGATGCTCGACTCGCCAAGCACACGGTTACACAGGCACTTGTTCACCGTCAAGACTCAAGGGCGAAAGTCTCCCCGATTTTTTCTCTCCCTCCCAAAATCTCAGTTTTATTTTTACGGTATGATATTTTTTTAACTTAATTTCTTGTTTCTTGTTATGTCTGTAAGTATTTTTTTTGTTTACCTGAGTCCTCATTTTGTTCCTTTTCTTTAAGTCCTTTTCAAGGTAAAGGCTCAACCTTTTTACTCTCTTAATATGGTTGAACTAATGTTTAAGAACAAACTTTTAAGTGATAAAATGGGCATGTTTAACTTAGTGAAAAATGAGAAAGAAATGAGTTGAGTTTCATGAGTTTTTATGCTTTGTGTATGACTCTTTGCTGAATTGATGTGATGTCTTTAGCATGCTGTAGATGAGTTATTTAGAGCTTTAGCTACAGTTTATTTGCCCTTGTATGTTATGATTTCGAGCATGAGAAAAAGAGATGATATAAGGCATGATATGTTGTAAATTTTTATCCCATTTTGTGTGGTTTATTTCTGAAGTTGCGGTACATGTTAGCATGCTGAAATGAATCATTTGCGGAGCCTTGATATCAGTTTAAATTGGATGAGGTGATTTATGAGAAGTAACTGTCAAAGGGTTAGTCTTACCACTGATACTTGGACGTCTCTGCAAAAAATTAATTATATGTGCATTACCGGCCACTTCATTGATAATGATTGGAATTTGCACAAAAAAATCTTGAATTTTGTTCCCGTTACGAGCCATAAGGGTGATTATATTGGCAAGTCACTTGAAACTTGTATTCTTGATTGGGGGCTAAAAGATGTCTTTACGATAACGATGGATAATGCAAGCTCAAATGATACTGCATTGGCATTTTTGAAGAATAGAATGATGGATTGGGGGGATACCATTGCGGATTGTAAATACATTCACATGAGGTGCATTGCCCATATTATTAATTTGATTGTTAGCAAGGGCCTCAAAGATGTAAAACCATCAGTGAAGCGGGTGAGGGCGGCTATTAGATACATAAAAAATTCTCTCGCTAGACTTCGAAAATTTAAAGAGTTTGTGGAATGGGAGGGTATAAAGTCCAAAAAGGCATTATGTCTTGATGTCAAAACGAGGTGGAATTCGACTTATATGATGCTAAGTACGGCGGAAAAATTTGAGAAAGCATTTGCTAAGTATGAAAGAGACGAAACTTCTTTTGTGAAGGATTTAGGAGATGATTTAGTTCCTAGTGCTTATGATTGGTCTTGTGCTCGCAAAATTTCCGAATTGTTGAGTTACTTTTATGATGCTACCTTACGGATTTCGGGCTCTTTGTATATCACTTCGAATACTTTTTCAGTGAGATTAGCGATTTGTGTTGCATTTTGGATGATTGGAGAAAGAGCGATGACCTTTTGAAAAGGGACTTTGGTGACTTAATGAAAGCAAAATTTCTTAAATATTGGGGAGAGCCGGGATGCATGAATAAAATTATCTTTTGGGCAAGCATTTTTCATCCGCGAGAAAAAATTGAGTTAATGGAGTACACTTTGAATGAGAAGTATGGGGTTGAAAAGGGGGAGAAAATTATTGAGGAAGTGAAGCATGATCTCTTTGAATTATTAAAAGAGTATAAGAAGAAGTATGATCCGAAAAGTGATGCAAGTGCTAGCATTGGAGTTCAAACAACTTCAACTTCAAGTTCCGAACATAGAAGTATTAGTACCAAGCCCAAATCAATTTTAAAAGCTAAGTTAAAGAAGCAAAAGTTAGCGACCGAGGGTTATTCAAACAAAAAGTCCGAACTTGAAGTTTACTTGCTTGAGGATGTGCTAGAGGGAGAAGAAGATCTTGATGTTCTAAAGTGGTGGAAATCAAATTCCGAACGTTTTCGGGTTCTTTCAAGAATGGTTCGTGATATGTTTGTTAGAGTAGGATACCCGACGTTTCAATCAGATTGGACGTATTCTACTTGTAAATACAATCTATTGTAATTATATTAATTAAAAAGGTATTAATTTATTTTAAGAGTAAGCATTTATCCTATATTTGCACTTAAGATAAAATCCGTAGATCACATATAGCTATAAGGTATGGTTGCGCATAGAGATGGTGATCATGGAACATACCTTGAAAGCTGTGATCTTAAATACAGTTCCAAGTCGTTGGATGTTTCGAGATGAGATATCGTATAAATCCGGAAAAGACTTGCACATATGATGTATACTTGTTGGACAAGAATGTTGCATTCCATCAACATTAGCGTGGAACGCAAATACATATATGTGGGTGATTGTTAGAGAACAAGTTCACTGAATATGACCGTATGAAAATTCTTAATGATAATTTATCTGTCGAATAAGAATTTTCATGTTACAATAGTATATGATTAATCCTTGGACTTGAGGCACGATGGTAACTTTGTGCATATTATATTTTACTTTGATTTATCCTTTTGATTGCTAGCACAATCATATAAAGGGATATTTTGGGTATTATATTAATATGTATGGAAGTTTGTCAGTGGCCAACACAGAATTCGACACTTATAAAGATAAGTGAATTTCCTATGTGTTTCATAGTTAGTAATTCAAAGTCCTTGGCCAAGGCGGGATGAATAGAGATTCATAAACGAATTACTAAACTTGAAATTGAATCATAGTTATTAAATTAATTTGGGTTTCGACAAAATCATACCCAAAATTTAATCGGGAAATTGGATGTCGAAAGGATTTTACATGTATGGACTTGTAATCGAAATAGGTTTACTCGCTATTCACTTAATACTTAATTCATGCTACTTGCTAGATGTTCCCATGCTATGTGGGTTCTTGAAATTAAGGAGTTAATTTCATGAATAAGAATTAATTAGATTAATTCAAATTACAAAGAGTTGTAAGCCCACTACTAGTATTAATTGTGAACCTAAAAGGTCACACCAATTTTTGAATGAAGGTAAAATTCAAATAGTAATTCTAAAGAGTTAGAATTAATTGACAAAACTAATTTGATTAGATGTCAATTAAAGGAATATATTAAATTAATCAATTAGATTGATTAATTGTATTTTTGGATATTAATTTAGTAATTAATGGAATTACTAAATAAATAGTTGGAATTTAAAATTGGATTTTAAATTTCAAATCCAAATAATAATATGATTATTAAATGAGGAGATGGGACAAAAGATTAAAATAATAAAGTCTTGAAAAATTGTTTTCAAGAATTATTATTTTATGTTAATAAGAATAAATTAATTATGGTGGTGTGGAGTTGTTAACTACTCTACATAATTAATCTTATTTTTATTAATACAATATTTAGTGGGAATAGTCCTATTCAAGAATGAATATTTTATGAAAATATTCTTGAAGACTTTTTATATTTTATGAAAATATTCCACCAAATATTATTATTTTATACTAAAATGTTTAGTATAAATATGGACATACTTGATGTTCATTTTAATCTAAGTTTTGCTAAGTTTTTCAAGAGTTGAAAAAGAGAGAAAATAAGAAGTGTTCTTCAAAATATAAAACAAGAAAGAGTTCTTGTAAAAATCTCTTCAAAATATATTCTATACTTATTGAATAAAAACCGAGTAGTTTCTACTAGCGAAGAAACTATTCCAGAACCGAATTTCAAAAAGGTGGACATGATTAGAGGGAAAACATTTGGATTCCTAAAGCGAGTAACATCAAGAAGTGGACGTTACCAAACCGGGAATTGATTTCCTCATCCATCGTCAATTTTGAAGGAGTTCAAGAACAAAGGTAAATTTTAATTTACTTATAACAAATCAAAATTTGTATTATTACATGTTTTTAAATGATGACGATTCGTGCATTCGCTATATGTACGTATGGGTTGATTGTTTATACGATAAATACTTGTTTTTGAAACATAATTTTCCGCTGCGTATAACCCGTACGGTACAGGCGAACCCAACAATGTTGGGTGTTCCAATATCAACCGCTGCATCGGAGTCGGCCTTTAGCACCGATGGGCGGGTGCTCGACAAATTTAGGAGTTCTTTAACTCCTAAAATTGTTGAAGCATTGATATGTACACTAGATTGGCTCCGAAATGAATGTGTCCCTTTATGTGTTGAAGAGTCATTAGATGAACTTGAAATGCTTGAAAAGGGTATTGTTGATGTGCAATTACTTTGTTTTTTTTTTTTTTTAATAGCAATCCTATTTTTAATTTGATTAATTTTCAGATTNTGTTTTTAGGTTCTTGTGATGGTTGTTTTGAAGGTGTATTGGGGCTGTTTTTGGGACACAACTTTGGCTACTTCTACGTCCTTTTCGGGGCTGTTTGGGAGACCTTTTCAAGGCTGATTTCTGGGATTTTATTGCTGTTCTATGGCACTTTATTGTTGTTTTTGGGATTGAACTATGTGCTTTTCTAGATGGACTGTTATTTATTGTTGGGATTTTATATTACTGCTATTTTATTGTTGTTTTTATGGGCTGTTTGAATTGATGTAACTCATATGTACTTTAGGCCTTTTCTAGACTTGTTTTGGGATGTTATTTTTATTACTTTTAGCTTGGACTTGGACTTGTTGGATTTGGAATTGAAATGTTTAATTTGAATATGTTTTTAGGTTGCATTTTTGTTGTATGGACAGTTGTGTTTGAGCCCAATAAAAAGACCAATATGTTTGGGCCCAGTAAACAAACCTAAAAAATTATTTTTTTGTAAAATTTCGGTTAATCGACCGAACCGACCGACCAATTCGGTTCGGTTAAACTTCGGTTTTAGGCAGTTAATTCAGTCGGTTCGGTTTCATAAATTTAAGAATTCGGTTATATCGGTTTGTGTAGTTCGGTTCGGTCGATCGACCGAACCGACCGATGAACACTCCTACTTATAACTGTAGTTGATACTAGTTTAAATTATTGAATACGGGAGATTTATAATGGTATTAAAGATTTAAAGGAATTGTAAATAATCTATGCAGCTTACCAATTTGCTTCCCTCGAACATTTGAAATTGATTCTAATAAATCGTATATCAAACACTTATTTCTGGAAATTGATTCTAATCAATCACATATATCTAAATAGAAAACAACTCTACGTTTGCTTCCAACTTACGTTTGTTTCCTCCGTACCAATTGAAATTGATTCTAATATATCGTAGTGTATCAAATGTAGGTTGAATAATTTGGACACTTATTCTGTAAATTGATTCTAAATCAAATGTAGGTTGAATAATTTGGACACTTATTCTGTAAATTGATTCTAATCAATCACATATCTAAATAGAAGTTGAATTATTCGAAAACTAATACTTTGAATCAATTTTTATCATCCAATGTNNNNATACATTTTGGTAAATTCTCATTTCATAAGAAGGATCAAATGCGGGAAATTCCCATTCCTTTGTAATATGAAGGCTGAGTGAAGTTATGGGCCGAAGGCAGCGGTGGGCCGGTCGTGTTGGATGCGTGCGGCAATGGCTGAGGTTAGCATTGGTAGCACTTGGTGAACAGCAGCAAACCCAATCCAACTATCAATACCCAAAATTGCCGAGGTTAGCTTTGGTAGCACTTGGTGAACAGCCCAAACAAACCCAAATCCAACTATCAATACCCAAAACGCCTTATGGTGCTAGTTAAAAACAAAAAAACTTTAAGGGATAAGGTTTTTCTTGATAAAATTTTAAATATTTTTTTAAATTATATTATTATTTATATTTAAAATGAGACTTTTAATTTGTATGATTTTTCCGTTATATATTATGATAATTTTTTACTTAATATAGTAATGAATTTGTAAATAATTTTTTAATTGATAGTAAGGATAAATCTTTGCACTTGCTGCTTTTATAAGCAGGAGTGCCTCAAAACATGTAACTTTGCAATGATGAAGTAAAAGGAAATGCTACAGCAAAGATCATAATATGAGTCCGTAACGTACTTAGATTTATGGGCCATTTAGTACATATAGATCAGGGGTGCACAAAACATTGTGGCTTCATACCTTCATATAGCCTAAAAATGAAC